TGCAATGTACATGCATGCACATATAAATGTATACATTGTCATCCATTTATACAAATATTTTATAAATTTATATTTTGATTGTCTTTATGTTGAAATTTCAGCAGGTGGCGCTGTAGAGCCATTTTGCCTTTTTTATTTATTTATTTGAAAACCACAGGATCAAAGTTTCTCTTCTTTAGGTGTTCCTCTCTTTACRTTTTGAGTGTTTGAGTGGGTTAAAGTGCAAAAAACTATATTAGGTCTGAAGCATAGCTGATCATGAAGGAGAATACGAGAAGTCTGGCCAAAATTATTGGTTTCTATCAGTTTGATGAATTCTATTGGAAACATGTTTGCAGCTGTGGCTGACATCATGGAAGGGTCAAGACTCTGTTTTATCAGATTGCATCAGTGTTTATCGTCCCCAGTCTCTAGGTGTCGTCCAAACAGGTGCGAGACCTCAGACAAAACAGGAGGCCTCATCACTCTACAGAGGAATGACAACAGAAAATAAACTAATGACCACTGTTATTTAACCTGTTTGTGGCTTCACATGTTTGCCTTGTAGCTTCTGAGTGTGCTCTCCAGTGGTTTAAGTTAGAAATGGAAGGTTTTACTTTAGCAAACCCATTTTTTTAGGTTAAATGAGTAGCTCTAAAATATACAGAACAACTTCAACTTAAAAAAATATCAAACTTTCCTCCAACAAAAGAATGAAAGGCCACGTCATCGTGATGTCTATAAGACAAGTCAGTGTTGAGAAGTGAATCTGACAGTTTTTCAGTCTTTTAATTGACTTAATGATGAAAAAATATTATTTAAAAACACCCATGAATCAAGGGAAGAAAACTGTATTATCCTCCTACTTATAAAATGTATTGATCTGATTCCATTTATGGCTTCAGAGAAAGCTGGATTTAAGTTATCCACATAAAATAAACTGGCATCAGAAACCTTCCTCTTCTCTTTCTTCCTTAAAGAAACATGGCTGTTGGGTTCATCTTACTGATTATTTTTAAGTGAGTTCTTAAAACACCTTCAATCTGTCATAACACCTAATGTCATCCAGATTTCAAGTTTGTAAATGGGACCACTAAATTCACCAACTCTACTATTTGACTCTTATTTAACAGACCTTATTTTTTCTTCTTCTTCCCATAATTAAATCCTAAATGTCTTGTCCAGAAAAGATGCCAAACACAAGATCAAAATTTGACCAATTCCTCATTACACCAAAAGCAATATAGGTTCACTTTAAGGTTCTCAGTGGAATATACTCTTCTGCTGATTGTAAATATGTTGGTTCTGTCCATACTGTAACAAACAAATTGAAACTACTGAACACATATTATATTTATGCCTTATTACTGCTTTTCTAAAGAACATGTGGGATAAAAAAAATACTGCTGTGAAACTTTACAAAATGGCAGAGGACCATAAACTCATGGAAAACCTCTAGCCTTACACATAAAAGGGAATTGTATATTAACGGACACATTACTTTTTTTTTTTTTTTTACAAATGAATAAAAGCATAAGATGAATTATTTAAATAATCTATTTTAACATGGTATTTATTAAATTGTTTGTATATTTACACGAATCTATTCTCGTTCGTTAAATATGCATTGTTTTTGTTTTGTTTTGAATTACAGATGAAGTTCGGAGGTAAAAAGAAAAGAAACGCGCTCATTTGTGCGCATGCGCAGCTGGAAGGTACGGGGTTGTCGAGGGTCACGCGACTGAAAATGTGACCGGAAATGACGTCACTCTATTTGTGAATAATTTACATGATCACGCGTCTCCTAGCCACGCCCCATGACGTCACAAATCAAAGACATCAAAGGACTAAGTAGCTCAGGTCATTTGTTCTTTTGCTTTTGCAGAGAGAACATATAACTGCTCAGTGATATATATTATTTTTTTAATTAAAATGTCTGAACAACTTAATATCATGTCTCAGAAAAACTGTAACATCGAAGTTTTCAACGTCTCCAGCTCAACGCAGCCCAGGATAGAAGGGAAGGAGATAACAAATGATTTGATCAAAAAATTGGACTATCATATTGCTAGATTTGATGAAACAAGGGAACGCTACCAGCAGAGGGCTAAGGTTCTTGACGATGAATTTAAAAACTTAGTGGCAGACTTTCAAACGTCCTTAAATAGGAGAAATGTTAGAGTTTCTGCTAAATCTGTGGAGTCCAAGGTGAACCAAACAGAAGGACTAAAGGAAGAGCTGCAGAYCGTGTTACCAAATACACAAATGACCACTACTGAAATCACAGCTCCACAGTCAACCCCACCTGAACCTGTGATTCCAAATGTACCAGAGACAGCTGCTCAGACCCCAAGTCCAGAGCCTGAGACCTCTAAATGTAGCTGGTATTTTTCCACTGGAAATATGTCAAACACAGCAAAATTAACTTTGACATGCGTGTCCTTTGTCACCGTATCAGCTGTGGCTTACGGTGTTTACAGGCTTTTCACTTAAAATACAAATCCTTTGAGTTTGGGCAGCATGGAGGCTCAGTTGTTAAAAATGATGCCTCGACAATGTTCTTTAAAAAGAGAGAGAGAGAGGAGGGAGATTTGAGGGCGAGGAGTGTCAAACTAGAATAATTCCTGGAGAAACTATAAGAAAATCCTCTCATAGTTTCTCCAGGAATTATTCTAGCACGCAAATGTATGCAAAATGTAATGTATATAAATGCACAGCGGGGATTTGCAGACATTATCAGTCATAAGTTACACCTACAGTATGACTGATAATGTATGCAAATGATATGCATGATGTCACTGATGATGTCACAAATGCAGCTCCTTTGAAAACACAGAAATGATGGGTCCTTTCAAACAGCTGCTGTTCAAAAAATATAAGGGATATTGAAATAATTTTTAGACCATGACTGTTAGAAGACTTTGGTCTTTACTGAAATAAAATTTCAAGCATGTACTTGAATTGATGGCTGAGATATGGCAAGTTAAAAAGTAGTAAGTC